GTAATTTGTAGGTATTTTAAAACCAATGGATGCCAGAACAACTACTTGTACAGCAAGCATTTAAGGATTGGATAGAGTTTACCTCAGTCAAATGAAGCTGATTTTCTATGACTAGTTTAGGGACAATTTAGGTCTCTTGACAGTGTTCCGTTTCCTTGTCTAGTCATGTTTTGTGTATTGTTGGTTATTGTTGTCTAAAGGGCTTCGGCTTTGTTAGCTGCCTTTAGTCATTTGTTGATGTTATTGGGTTTATGTAGACCACGTCTATGTGCGTCTCCCAGCTCATGCGGTTATTTCGGGCTTCCTCGGTTTGTATTGGACTTTGTTTCTTTTTTTATTAATAAGACTGAAAACAAAAAAGTCTAATACTTTCTCTCTCTAAAAAATATTCACTCTTCTTTCACAAAATCGTCGCTCTTAACCTAACTTTTCAAGCCGCCTTCTCCGGGGGGGGCCATGGGGCATTCTGACGGCGGCCGGCTCCATGCTCTACGATTCGGCCCCAATTTGATGGTGAGGCTCGTCTTTTTGCCCAATGGTGTTTAGTGGCCGATCCCGAGTGGATCCCGCGCCTATCCCTGTCACCATCTTGGGTCGGAGGTCACCGGATTTTATGGCGTCGTGTGGCAGCGGGATTCGATTTTGCTGCGGGGGAGGATTGTGGCCCCGGTCTCTTTGTGTTGGCGGTCGGGGAAGAGGTTCACAGGCGTGTTTCCCCTTTGTCGGGCCGAAAAGGACGGCCGGCATGTCGGGCCGTCTCCCGTGGTGTGGTGGGGGAGTCGCTGGTTTGCCGCCTGCTAAGGGGTTGGTCGCCTGGGCGCGGGGTCGATGTCTTGAGTTTTGATCGGTTAGGCGCGTGTCGTAGTTTCTGCTGTTGAATTTCGAGCTTGGATCCGGTCCTTTTGGGTGGTCGACAGTGAGTTGTCGTTCTCGGGTCTTGCTTGTAGCGGTAGTCTGGCTGTGGGAAGGGCCGTTTTTATTTTTGTTTGTGTTGGTGTTTTGGGAGTTTTGAGCCACGTTTGGATATTTGGATACAAATATGTAATCAAGCAACCCTAATATTTTTTTTATGAAAATAAAATTTTAGTTGTTTTTTTAAAGTTCAACAATGATTTAATACTAATGTATCACATGATGAAAGTAATGTTGTCGTTGGTAGATCGAGTCTATTTTTATTTTTTAGGTAGCTAAAGGATGGTTAAGTATTTTTAACAGAGTCATTAGCCTTAACCAAATTGATGGAAAGTGATTAATGGACGAAATGTTAGTACCAAAACCGACTTGTAAAATTAGTAAAATATAGGGATTAATAAATGAAAACGAGGTATATGACATTTTCTATTTATTTTTACTTCCAAAATTTTCGTCAACCATTCTTCCTACATTTTCTGTACAAAATAGCAATCCACACAGAAATTGACATCACATAAAAATGGCGCTCCCCATCTCACAACTCTCCTTCTGCCCTTCCAAATCCACCGCCTCAAACACCTTCTCCATCCCCACCACACGTAAGGCCGCCAAGTTCCGCACGAAAATTGCACCCAAGCCCCTCAGATTCGCCGCAATCGCGAAAGCGTCCCAGGAAGAAGACAACAACGCCGCCACCGGAAAAATCGCCGGCCCGGACGCCGATAGCCGGGCCGAGAGATCCCAAGACAAAGAGATGACGGAAATAGGGCTGGAAATAAAAAAAGCGATGAAAGAAAGGGGGCAAAATGAAGAGGCGGGCTTTTTGAGCGGGGTCGCCGAGGAAATAAGGGAAATTGAGTGGCCTTCGTTTGGGAAAGTGTTGGGGACGACTGGGGTGGTGCTTGGGGTGATTGCGGGTTCGAGTGTCGTTTTGCTCACTGTTAATGCCGTTTTGGCTGAGCTTTCGGATAGGGTTTTTGCGGGGAAGGGTGTTCAGGATTTCTTTGGTTGAGGGGATCTGGTGCGGGAGGGTGCACGGCTTTTGCCATGGTCTTCCGTGCGTTTTTGTATTTTTGGTATCCTTTGTAATCTAATTTTTTGAGATTGATGTGCTGCTTCTTTTCTTTATTTTCTTGTTTTCACTAAATTGAATTCTTTCACTGATTGTTCCGATGAATGAACCGACATTTTGTTAATATGTATAAATATTTGTTTAGTTTTGGTAAAAGAAATCAATCACATATCTGTCGTTTATTTGAATGAGAGAAACAAAACTATATAAACAAGACTTCCGTGAAATTTTGAAATTAATATGAACAATTCAATAAATAAATATGAACAACAACAAACCCATAAAATCTCACTAACTCGGGTGTTGATTGTATGGATCACATGTTAATCTAGATCAAAACATATCTCTAGTCAAATTTAAATACTTTAAATTATTCTCACTAACTTGGGTCGGCTCTATGGATCATATGTCACTATCGTGCTCGATCAAAATACAGATCTTCATTCAAATTTAAATATTTTAAATTATTTTATATTAATTTTTATTGTTTCTAATGTTGGGGCCTCCAAGTTTCTTGTATACACGTGTCCAAACCATCTAAATCGTGATTCTTTCATTTATCCTCTATAGGCGATATCCCAACTTTATATCTAATATTTTCATTTCTAATTATCTAAATTAGTATATCCACACATCCATCTCAACATTTTCATCCCTATTACTTGCAGTTTTTGATCATTTTCGTATTTAGTATTTCAACACTCGAATTCATAAATCATCTGCGGTCTAACGGCCGTTCTTTAGAACTTGCATTTAAACTCACAACACAGTATCGATGACGCGTTCTTCCATTTGTTCAATCCATATTGAATTTTATGTGTTACATATCTATGTTATCATCTATATATATATAAAGAGGAGCAACAAAGCATTAAATTATATTATCATGCATTAAATTTTATTCTCCCTCCAAAATTTTCAGCATTCAATTTCATTTTTAAGTTACAAAATAACTTATTGAATGCCATAAAGAAAATAGTTGTAATGACTCTTCCATATCAATTACTTGATCAAAATTAATTTTGAGAATTATTTCTTAATTCATATTTTTTTTTTCATATATTAAATTATGATTTATTTTTATTTTTTTTATATTGTTATCTTTTTAAAGTATTCTTTTCTGCGCAAATGTACAAATTGATTACTAGTTATGTTCTAGAATGGATCTAAAATATTTAAGATTTTTAAATATGTTAATTCGTGTTCCCCAATTTCAATGTCTATTCAAAACTTTTAAATGTGTTAAAAGGGTAGTATAAAATATCTACCACACACACACTCCAAGGCCACACACTTCATTCCATTCAAACATATCAACACAGTTTTCATCCTTCCGTATTTTTAATCCTTCCAATGAATTTCATGTTTGACGATTCATCTTCCTCCTCTTCAGATGATGATGATGATATAATTTTTAACGTTCTTCGTCTCAAACAAGCAGTGATTTGTCGTGTTATCGCTAATAACAATATGATCCTTCAATATCTTTATGAAAAAAACCAGCAAGCATTACGTGACGGTTCAGATCTTGAGGATGTTGCTGTCAATCGTGATCGAGAGGCAACAAAGCGCCCACCTGAAAAATCGCGGGCCCGAACTCGGAGAGTGAGGCCCAAAATTTCCAGCCCAAGACGAAGAGACGACGGAAATAGGGCTGGAAATAAAGAAAGTGTTGAGGGAAAGGGGGCAAAATGAAGGGGCGGGTTTTTTTAGCGGGGTTGTAGAGGAAATAAGGGATATTGAGTGACCTTTCTTTGCAAAAAGTGTTGGGGGTTCGATTGTCGTTTTGGTCACTGTTAGTGCCGTTTTGGCTGAGCTTTCGGATAGGGTGTTTGCAGGGAAAGGATGGTCCTTCCGTATTTTCCATGTTTTACTTACTTTGGGTGTTCTTTTTAATTTTTTTTTAGATTAATGTGTTCTTTCTTTAATTGTTCGTTTTCACAATATTGATTATTATTATTCTGATCACCGAACCTTCAATTAAGCAACTGCTATCATCATCCTATAATTTGTTTGAAAGAGAATCAAAATTGTAATTTCTGTTTTAGATGAAGAACAGAGGTTCAATACGGAAATTTGTAAAAGTACCATATTTTCATTTTTTTTTCAGACAAATCTCACTCTTGCCGCAGTAATAGTTATTACAGATCTTTTTATATGTCTGCATACATAATTACAATTTTTTTNTAAAACCACAAAAGTGCGAATATACAGCAGCCAATGACTGAATACACAGCAGCCAACAGCTGAAAAAAAACAACCGAAAAAGGGAGGACAGGTCTTCAGAAGCCCGCCTAGAATACCGGCTAGCAAACGCTAGAAAAAAAACTAACTAACAACACAAACAACTAACACAACTACAAAACTCCAACAGAGTAATACCCAAATGTCGGATCCCAACAGGGTAATACTCGAGTGTCCGACTCCAACAGAGTAATAAAGTGACACTCGGGCGCACAGATTGACACTCGGGTGCACAGAGGCGAAGAGCCCAAACCAAAAACACATCACACAAACAAAACCGACAAACAGACACTAACAAAGCACAAACTACAAAACAACACATACAAAACAACATAACACAAAAAATAAAAGACACATAACAAAAATAAAGCCCTTCCAGCCAGCAGCCGAAACCAACCGAACACAACTAGACGCCGACCACCCACACGGACAAGACCCGGTCCAAGTCACAAGCCAGAAACTGCAGAACCTCGTTCGCCTAACTAGACTCAAGATTGAAAAACCATGGCCCTCCCGAGTGGACAACCACAACACTCGAGCCCGGAGATCAATAAACAAGCTCCACCATCACAACCCCGAAGATCCGAGATCGGGACACAAGACCCAGCCCCAACTTAACTCCGCCAATGAAACCAACAAACACAAAAGCAGAGAAAATCGGAGAAGGAAGGAAAGCGAAACGGCCCAATCTCAGCACGACCACCCATTGTTACCAAATTTATGATCGGAACCGCAGCCCATGGTCTAAAGCTTACCGGAAAAGCACCGCTGCTCATACTCCGAGAAGCCGCCGGTCAGAATCCATCGTGGCGACCGATAAAGAGGCGAGATCCAAAATGAGCTGACCCGCCGACTCACCCGGGAAGAGGAAGCCGCCCAACCAACGAGCCTTCGAACGCCGGCCGCACGGCCCAGAGAAGCCGTCGCCCCGATGGCCCGGAGGCCCCTGCTGGAGGAAGGCAAACTGGATTTGGTGTTCTTAGTTTTTTAGAGAGAGGTAGAGGTATAGAGAGGTTTTCTTTTCACTTTCAAATTATATATGTTGACTTATTTTCTTATCTCAAATTATATGCATTCTTGATTCCAAAAGCAATTTACTTTATTATCTTGGAAATTCAAACGAGTCGATTTTTGCGTTTTACCTTCAACCTTGCTTTATTCCAGGAATTATATTTAAACATTCGTAACATTTTTCATTTTGAGTTTATTGTTCAATCTGCATTTTTTTCTTTAAGCAAAAATGATATTTGATGCCTTTTTCTTGGGAAAAAAAATAGGATAATTGGAGAATTGTCCATCCTCGTTAGGAAAACACACAGAAATACAAGAGAGAAATAACTACAGCAAATAAATTTTATTGTCCGCAGAGATGGAAAGGACTCGACACAAGCAAAGTGGATATACTGAGTGCAAAAGAACAGAATTTCAACTGATAAAACTTTCAAATGTGCAAACACTCGAAAACGAGCCTTTTCACATTATTCAATCACAATTAGAAAAGGAACCATAGTCTTCTCACTGTAAACCACCAGTTCACGGCTCAAAAGTCATATGCACGGCCTCCTCTCTAACCGACTCAAAGAGTACAGAGGAAAGGTAACGTTCACCAAAGCTAGGGAAGATAACCTGCAAGTTTTAGTTCATTAATGCCATTAAAAAACAAAACCATTTTCCACTAAACTGATTGCCAGAAGAAGCTCATAATCACTTATTCTACATGACATGACTTCAAAATCGAAAACTCGTGAAATAGGAATTTGGTTATTCGGTTCATTCTTTTCTTGACTTATCGTTCATTTTTCTTTTCTTTTTTCTTCTTGGTGACCTTGTGAGATATTTGCAATCACCATTAAGTTCCTTTTAATTTTTAAGATAGGGGTGGTATTTTGGGCCATAAATGTCATTTCAAACACTCGTCGCTCGGGACAGCAGTCATGAAATATACTTCTGCTAAAGTTTCAAGTATATTTTTCTGTTCCAAATAGCTTTGCCGTGTTTAGAATTTTACATTTCATTAATACGCAATACTTACAACAATGAGCTTCCCAGCATTTTCAGGCCGTTTTGCAATCCTAATGGCAGCTGCTGCTGCTGCACCAGATGAAATTCCCACCTGCACCATATTTAATATTACACCTGTACAATCATTTTCCGTTTCTTTTAAAATTCGTCACTTTTGTTTTCTATATCGAAAGAGGCACAGGGTGAAGTTTTTAAATAATTTTGCATCTCACTAACAAAAGTGAAATAGTGTTGAAAAACTTACAAGCAATCCCTCTTTCAATGCAAGAAGCTTTGCAGTCTCTATGGCCTCATCACTTGAGACCTAGAAGAAACATTCAAGTTATTTACGATTTGTTGCTTAACCTTTTTATTTAAACATTAAACAAATCGGACGTAGCATCTGAGCCTTACTTGAAGAACCTCGTCTATGAGATGAACGTCCAAAACACCTGGAATGAAACCAGCTCCTATTCCTTGGATCTTGTGAGGACCTTCAACAGTCAAAATGAAGATAAAAAAAATGAGGAACATATGTTCATGAACGAATTGTAAGATTGATAAATTTTCCTGGAGGCAGGCCAATAATGAACTAATTTTGTGTGCAAGTTTAAAACAAGTTTCTATTTCTATTATTTTACTATATACAATTCGTGCCCAGGCCTATTCATCACTAAGAATGATGGAGGTGAACTCACAATTTAACAATCACTTACTGTATTTAAGCAAGTACATGTATAATCCAGAAGAACCAGGACTAATATGTAAGATAACTAGATCTTGTGGTATAAAATTGTACGAACACTAATAACACGCAATATGAAGAGATGTCAAAAACAATGTCTAAGCAAAATATCCAGACAAGAGTAAGAACTTACCAGGCTTCCCTCCAGAAAGAACCGGACTTTCAACTGGTTCCACACCATATAGCTAAAAACACAAATAAACATCATAACTGAGCAGCTAGCTAGTATAAAATTGAAAATCAACCAGCATAACTATTATTTTTTCCAGTAAAAAGAAAAGGGAAAGGAAAAAGGAGAGAAGAAAAAAGGAGGCAACCTTAATGTCAGGGTTTTGTTCTTTAAGAAACTTGCCAGCACCAGTTATGGTGCCTCCAGTACCAATTCCAGAAACAAATGCATCAATTTTCCCATCCGTCCCTTTCCAGACCTCAGGGCCCGTAGTTTCATAGTGTATCTAAACAAAACCAAGTGTCATTAAGTTCACTCCCAATCAGCAATAACATCACATGATATTTCGCTAACAATAACAAAAAAATGAAAAAGATAGAATAAGGAAAATAAATCGATCTAAACTGGAAATTACAAAAACAACCATTGAGATTGCATTTATCTAATATTTTTCACAAGAGACTGTTGATGCTAACAGCAATGTTAATCCTCAACTATACTATATAAAGCATAAAAGCGCTACTATATAAATAGCTTGATAATAAATTGGAGCTTTTCAAAATATTGAGACAACTTAAAGGTTCTAATTGAAAAAAAAAAAAAAAAAACATAAATGAATCCCGTGTGTTCGCCTACAGGGTTAGGGCAAAATGTTAGATCAAACAAACCTCAACTGTGGTCAATTGAATTTACATACATGATCTAGTGTTTTTCTGTACATACTCCAAACATTGAGGTATGTTTGCAATTATACAAGAAAATAGAAGTAGAAAGTCTATTAGAATAACCTCTGAATTGGTTCTGTTGGATTTTCCTGTACATACACCAAACCTAGAAGTATGTTTTCAAAATTATATAACAAAATAGAAGTACAAAATCTATTAGAATTACCTTGGGATTGGCAGGGTTACCACTTGAATTTACGTACATTATCTAGGGTTTTTCTGTACATACTCCAAACCTTGAGGTATGTTTTGCAATTATATAAGAAAATAGAAGTATAAAGTCTATTAGAATAACCTCTGAATTGGTTATCTGAGATTTTTCTGTACATACACCAAACCTTGAGGTATGTTTTGAAATTATATAACAAAAAGTATAAAATCTATTAGAATTACCTTGGGATTGGCAGGGTTCTCAAATTGCTGGAGGATGTAAGAATTGGGTGTCTTATCACGAATCTCCTCAGCCTTCTGAACGGCACCTTTCATTCCCTTAGCTGGGTCAGTAAGAACCAAATCAGCACCAAAAGCACGGAGAATGATTTTGCGTTCAAGGCTCATGGAAGCTGGCATGGTGATTATAAGCTTGTAGCCTTTAGCAGCTGCCATGAATGCCAAGCCTATGCCGGTGTTACCACTTGTGGGCTCAATGAGAACAGTCTACAAACAGAGAAAATAACAAGTGAAAAACGGAACAAACATAGCAAGATTTATGTAGTGAGAAAATAAAGAAACATAAATCATACTCAAAACAAAATTTAGGTGAGTATGTATTGTCTACCTCTCCTGGTGTGATAAGGCCTTTTGCTTCAGCATCTTTAATCATACTATAACCAATCCTGCACCGGGGAAAATAAAAATAGATACAAGTCGAAGTGATTACCAAGGGGCAGCTAACATAACACGAATGGAGTGTGTGCAAATCTTTTGTTTTGGAAAGGAGGGATTTTTTTGTAGCAAAAGCCAAAAAAATATGGTCAGGCAGTAGATGGTATTGTTTGCAAATAGAAGCTAAAAGTTGAACAAGCTAACGCATGGCGTTTGATTAATAAATTCGGAACTGGTTCTTTTGAGTAAGATTATGCACTCTTAAGCAAAAGTTATCATCTGAAAACACAACAAACTACTTTTTATCCTCAGTTATTAGCTATTAATCAATTTCTTTGGGTTTCTAAGCACTTCTTAGAAATCAAAATGGTGATTCTGACATTTTTTTTTTTCTTGTAGAAAAATGAAATACCTGTCCTTGACGCTAGAACATGGCTCCATTGATTCCAGCTTGGCCGCAACACGAGCCACACAACCATCAGTAACATTTTTCAAGTATACCAATGGAGTTTTACCAATCAACTGCCACATAAAATACAATTATTTAACCCCAAACATAAAGATTAACAAGCAAGAGAAAGATTCAAAGAAAGACAGACAATACAATTTTCGAAAAACTTACTTCAGTGACATCCTTAGCAATCCCAATTTTTTCCTCAGCCATATCTGTCTAATAATAATCCTGCAATGGAAATGCCAGAGTTCAGGCCAACTCAAGATTTCATTTCCTTTTTTCATCCCTTTCAAGAGAGTAAGCACACGCGTATCAAGAACATTGATCGCAACAGAAAACTTCATTCATTAGAAGAATACAGAAAACAAAAGTATCCCGATGAAAAAGTTATCCCCAGCATCATCAGATTCAAATTTACAAACTTTTTTACCAATCGAATTTCACAAACGAGGCCCTCTTCAAGCACAAAACGATTTATCTATCCTCGACAAATCTAATTCCCTTTTTCGGTCCCAAAATTAAAAAATAAAATAAATAGAACTCTGGGTGAAATAAAAAGAAGAGAAATTTGAGAAGATGTTACCTTTATCTGCGTTTTTTCTGCTTGCTATTGAAATGGACAGATGTGAACTCTTAATCGGAGTTATATAAGCAAAATTAGCCCAAGTGTGGACTTTTATGCGGTCGACTGTTCATTATTAATTTTTATTTTATAAGCTTGCACAATAATAACTAGAAATAGTAAACTAGGAAAATAACAATTATCCGATGAATGAGACCCGAAATGCGTCCTGCTGTGAAAATTGTAAAAAACTGACTTAGTAGACAAAAATCAAAACGTCCGGTTTTTATAGAAAAATATGATTATATTATAGAGACAAATTATCCACGTAAATTTACTTTCCTTGTAATTTATGAGCAATAAAAAGACTTTCACGGAATCGTAGGACTGAATCATTTACCGAGTAATTATAGAAGTATTTTAATTATCAATCATTTCACCCTTGCGATATAAAATTTGGGTATTACAAAAAAACGAATTCCCTTTGTATGAGACCAAGACACCAGTTCTTAACTTATAAATACTATCTT